AGTCTTCTTTTTAATCAGTTGAAAGGGCGACTGTCTCCCAGGAGCTCCAATTGCCAGCTAAAACGGCGCTGGGACCCCTGTATTTTGTATGGAGAACCGCCACACTGGGGCATTGGCAAAACAACTGCACCAGCGAAAACAGCTGCACTGGCTAAACCAGCCACACTGGAGACCCATGGGGCTCCTCTACCTGGGAATCTCCTGGTCTATGGGGAATAAAAATCTGTCTGGAAATGCGGAGTCCCCTCACCCTCTGTGCTTTGGCTTTGAGCTGCAATCCTGAGCTTCTCCTTATTGGCCATCTTGGATCTCTCCTTTTTTTTGAGACAGAGTCTTGCTCTGTCACCAGGCTGGAGCACAGTGGTGCAGTCTTGGCTCACTGCAACCTTCGCCTCCTGGGTTCAAATGATTCTTACGCCTCAGCCTCCTGAGTAGCTGGGACTACAGGTGCATGCCAAATGCCCGGCTAATTTTTGTATTTTTAGTAGAGATTGGGTTTCACCATCTTGGCCAGGATAGTCTCGACCTCTTGACCTCGCAATCCACCTGCCTCAGCCTCCCAAAGTGCTGGGATTACAGGAGTCAGCCACTGTGCCCAGCCAAGTTAATTTTTGTATAAGGTTTAAGGGAGGAGTCCAGTTTCTGTTTTCTGCATATGGCTAGCCAGTTTTCCCAACACCATTTATTAAATAAGGAATGCTTGTTTTTGTCAAGTTTGTTGAAGATCAGATGGTTGTAGATATGTTGTGTTATTTCTGAGGCCTGTGTTCTGTTTTATTTGTCTATATATCTGTTTCGGTACCAGTACCATGCTGTTTTGGTTACTTTATAGTTGTAGTGTAGTTTGAAGTCAGGTAGCCTGATGCCTCCAGCTTTATTCTTTTTGCTTAGGATTATCTTGGCTATAGGGGCTCTTTTTTGGTTCCACGTGAAATTTAAGGTAGTTTTTTTCTAATTCTGCAAAGAAAATCAATGGTAGCTCAATAGGAATAGCACTGAATCTATAAATTACTTTGGGCAGTGTGGTCATTTTTACAATGTTGATTCTTCCTATCCATGAGCATGGAATTTTTTTTCCATTTGTTTGTATTTTCTCTTATTTGCTTCAACAGTGTTTTGTAGTTCTCCTTGAAGAGATCCTTCACATGCCTTGTAAGTTGTATTCCTAGGTGTTTTATTTTCTTTGTAGCAATTGTGAATGGGAGTTCACTCATGATTTGGCTCTCTGCTTGTCTATTATTTGTGTATAGGAATGCTTGTGATTTTTGTACATTGATTTTATATCCTGAGACTTTGCTGAAGTTGCTTACCAGCTTAAGGAGTTTTTGGGCTGAGCTGATGGGGTTTTCTAAACATACAATTGTGTCATTTGCAAACAGAGACAATTTTACTTCCTCTCTTCCTATTTGAATATCCTTTATTTCTTTCTCTTGCCTGATTTCCCTGACCAGAACTTCCACTACTGTGTTGAATAGGAGTGGTGAGAGAGGGCATCCTTATCTTGTGTTGGTTTTCAAAGGGAATGGTTTCAGCTTTTGCCCATTCAGTATGATATTGGCTATGAGTTTGTCATAAGTAGCTCTTATTAACTTGAGATATGAGAGCTTTTAGCAGGAAGGTGTGTTGAATTTCATTGAAGACCTTTTCTGCATCTATTGAGATAATCATGTGGTTTTTGTCATTGGTTCTGTTTATTTGATGGATTGTGTTTATTGATTTGCATATGTTGAACCAATCTTGTATCTCAGGGATGAAGCTGACCTGATCATGGTAAATAAGCTTTTTGCTGTGTTGCTGGAATTGGTTTGCCAGTATTTTATTGGGGATTTTTGCATAGATATTCATCAGAGATAGTGGCCTGAAATTTTCTTTCTTTCTTTTTTTTTTTTGGCTGCATCTCTGCCAGGTTTTGGTATCAGGATGATGCTGACCTCATAAATTGAGTTAGGGAAGAGTCCCTGCTTTTCTCTTGTTTGGAATAGTTTCAGAAAGGATGATACCCACTCCTCTTTGTACCTCTGGTAGAATTCAACTGTGAATCAGTTTGGTCATGGGCTTTTTTTCGTTGGTAGGGTATTAATTACTGCCTAAATTTTAGAACTTTTTGTTGGTCTATTGAGGGATTCACCTTCTTTCTGGTTTAGTCTTTGGGAGAGTGTATGTGTCTAGAAATTTATCCATTTCTTCTAGATTTTCTGGTATATTTGCATAGAGGTGTTTATAGTATTCTCTGATGGTAGTTTGTATTTCTGTGGGATCAGTGGTGATATCCCCTTTATCATTTTTATTGTCTGTTTGATTTTTCTCCTTTTTCTCTTTTATTAGTCCAGCTAGTGGTCTAATCTTTCCAAAAAGCAGCTCCTGGACTCATTGATTTTTTGAAGGGTTTTGTCTTATGTCCTTGAGTTCTGCTCTGATCTTAGTTAGTTCTTGTCTTCCACTAGCTTTTGAATTTGTTTTCTCTTGCTTCTCTAGTTCTTTTTATTGTGATGTTCAAGTGTTGATTTCAGATCTTTCCAGCTTTCTGATGTGGGCATTTAGTTCTATAATTTCCCTCTTAACACTACTTTAGCTGTGTCCTGGAGATTGTGGTATGTTCTCTCTTTGTTCTCATTGGTTTCAAAGAACTTCATTATTTTTGTCTTAATTTAGTCATTTACCCAGTAGTCATTCAAGAGGAGGTTGTTCAATTTCCATGTAGTTGTGTGGTTTTGAGTGAGTTTCTTAATCTCAAGTTCTAATTTGATTTCACTGCGGTCTGAGAGTCTGCTATGATTTCCACTCTTTTGCATTTGCTGAAGAGTGTTTTACTTTGAATTATGTGATTGATTTTAGAATAAGTGCTATGTGGTGCTGAGAAGAATGTATATTTTGTTGACTTAAGGTGGAGTGTTCTGTAGATGTCTATTAGGTCCACTTAGTCCAGAGCTAAGTTCAAGTCCTGAATATCCGTGTTAATTTTCTGTCTCATTGATCTGTCTAACATTGACAGTGGTGTGTTAGTCTCCCACTGTTTTTGTCTGGGAGTCTAAGTGTCTTTGTAGGTCTCTAAGAGCTTGCTTTATGAATTTGGCTGCTCCTGTAATGGGTGCATGTATATTTAGAATAGTTAGCTCTTCTTGTTGCATTGATCCCTTTATCATTATTTAATTCCCTTCTCTGTCTTTTTTGATCTTTGTTGGTTTAAAGTCTGTTTTATCAGAGACTAGGATTGCAACCCCTGCTTTTTTTTTTTTTCTTTCCATTTGCTTGGTTAATATTCCTGCATCCCTTTATTTTGAGCCTACGTGTGTCTTTGCAAGTGAGATGGGTCTCCTGAATACAGGACACTGATGGGTCTTGACTGTTTATCCAATTTGCCAGTCTGTGTCTTTTAATTGGGGCATTTAGCCCATTTACATTTAAGGTTAATACTGTTATGTGTGAATTTGATCCTGTCATCATGATGCTAGCTGGTTATTTTGCTCATTAGTTGATGCAGTTTCTTCATGGTGTCATTGGTCTTTATATTTTGGTGTGTTTTTTTAGTGGCTGGTACTGGTTTTTCCTTTCCATGTCTAGAACTTCCTTCAGGAGCTCTTGTAAGGCAGGTCTGGTGGTGACAAAATTCCTTAGCATTTGTTTGTCTGGAAAGGATTTTATTTCTCTTTCTCTTATAAAGCTTAGTTTGGCTGGATGTGAAATTCTGGGTTCAAAATTTGTTTATTTATAAATGTTGAATATTGGCCCCCACTCTCTTCTGGTTTGTAGGGTTTCTGCAGAAAGAACTGCTGTTATCTGATGGGCTTCCCTTTGTGGGTAACCTGACCTTTCTCTCTGGCTGCCCTTAATGTGTTTTCCTTCATTTCAGCCTTGGAGAATCTGACAATTACGTGTCTTGGGGTTGCTCTTCTCATGGAGAATTTTAGTGGGGTTCTCCATATTTTCTGAATTTGAATGTTTGCCTGTCCTGCTAGGTTGGGGAATTTCTCCTGGATAACGTCCTGAAGTGTGTTTTCCAACGTGGTTCCATTCTCCTTGTCACTTTCAGGTACACCAATCAATCGTAGGTTTGGTCTTTTCACACAGTCCCATATTTATTGGAGGCTTTGTTTATTGCTTTTCACTCTTTTTTCTCTAATCTTGTCTTTATGCCTTATTTCGGTAAGTTGATCTTCAATCTCTGATATCCTTTCCTCTGCTTTATCAATTCAGCTATTGATACTTGTGTATGCTTCACAAAGTTCTCTTGCTGTTTTTCAGCTCCATCAGGTCATTTATGTTCCTCTCTATACTGGTTATTCTAGTTAGTATTTCCTGTAACCTTTTATCAAAGTTCTTAGCTTCCTAATATTGGATAGAACATGCCCAAATGCCCATCAATGATAGACTGGACAAAGAAAATGTGACGCATCTACACCATGAAATACTATGCAGCCATAAAAAACGACGAGTTCATGTCCTTTGTAGAGACATGGATGAATCTAGAAACCATCATTCTCAGCAAACTGACACAAGAACAGAAAACCAAACACCGCATGTTTTCACTCATAGACGGGTGATTAACAATGAGAGCACTTGGGCACAGGGAAGGGAACAACACTCACTGGGCTACGTTGGAAGGTGGAGGGGAGCGGAGGGGAGGGACCGCGGGGGTGGGGGAAGGATGGGGAGGGATAATACCGGGAGAAGTGCCTGATGTAGGAGATGGCAGGATGGAGACACCAAACCAACATGCCATGTATGTACCTATGGAACAATCCTGCAGGATGTACACATTCACCCCAGAGCCCAAAGTACAATTCAAATAAATAAATCTCTTACTGAAGCATTCAGTAAATGATTCTTATAATAAGTTTCAGGTCATTTTCTCTTGAAAATTCATTTTTTAAAAAGGCCTTTATAATTTTTATTTTTAATAACAACAACACTGGCTTCCTTTCAATCTTTTCTCTTTGTTGGTATATATAAAAGGAGAATGAATGTTTTGTGTTTATGGTTGTTTCATTACTGTTTTGCAGTACATTATGTTGCCTGCAAGTTGCTGAGTATGTGTGCAGCCTCATTTGCCTCAGAACAAGGTATTCAACGACTGATTATGGTAAGTCTTAATTTAGGAGAAAATGGAGATGCAATGAGATGGTTGTTACTTCTATGAAAATGGTTAAGGCCGGGCGCGGTGGCTCAAGCCTGTAATCCCAGCACTTTGGGAGGCTGAGGCGGGTGGATCACGAGGTCTAGAGATCGAGACCATCCTGGTCAACATGGTGAAACCCCGTCTCTACTAAAAATGCAAAACATTAGCTGGGCATGGTGGCACGTGCCTGTAATCCCAGCTACTCAGGAGGCTGAGGCAGGAGAATTGCCTGAACCCAGGAGGCGGAGGTTGCGGTGAGCCGAGATCGTGCCATTACACTCCAGCCTGGGTAACAAGAGCGAAACTCCGTCTCAAAAAAAAAAAAAAAGATAAAAAGAAAATGGTTAAAGTTAGTGTGAAACTGGAGGGGGGTTGAATCTTTTAGTGCTATCCTTTTATGTTGGTGTTCCTTTTATAATGGTATATTTACTACAGTTAAAGTTCTCAGAATACTGTGGTTATTACAGTGGTTTAGAGAACCAAATGCTGAACTTATAATTCTGGGTTGATGATTTATTTTTTACTTTTCTCACCTCTCACTTGATAGAGTAACTGTTTCTTCATCTAAGGGAATGATGTTAGTTCTAAATGAGTTTTTCTAATGAAAAATTTGAAGCACTAAGTAAATAAGGAAAAGAGTATAGGATTTCAAGTCTGAAGACCCAGGTTAGGTCTGCTGCTTACTAGCTATGTGACATTGGAAGATTACTTAGTTTTCTTATTTGTAAACTGAAAATAGTAATATCTACCTTAGAGTGTTACTGAGTTAAAATTAGAGTTTTTGTGAAAAATGCTTTGTAAACTATAAACACATAGTGGTAGAATTTGTTCATGTAAAATGCTATGACAGTAGTCTGATAAATCCTGTATCATATATAATATGATAAAACTGAGTTGAACACAGGGTTCACCTTGTGCATTCTTTCAAGGATTGTAGCCACTGTAGTGCCTTCACACAGTTATATTTTGTACAGCTTTTAGGGTTGTTTGGAGTGGGAAGTTCAGTTTGAATTGAGCTATTCTCTCATGGCTGATAGTGGAAGTCTTCCTCTTATATTTCTATTATTTAAAAGATTAATCTTTTAAATTCTGAGATGGAGTCTTGCTCTATAGCCCTGGCAGGAATGAAGTGGTGCCATCTGGGCTCACTGCAACCTCTGCCTCCTAGGTTCAAGCTATTCTCCCGCCTCAACCTCCTGAGTAGCTGGGATTACAGGGGTGTGGCAGCACACCCAGCTAATTTTTGTATTTTTAGTAGAAATAGGGTTTCATCATGTTGGCCAGGCTGGTCTTGAACTCCTGACCTCACGTGATCCACCCACCTTGGCCTCCCAAAGTGCTGGGATTACAGGCGTGAGCCACTGCACTGGGCCTAACAGATTAATTTTTTAAAGTTTTATTTCCCCCTTCTCCCAAAATACAAATGTGTGTTTATGTCAAATTAAATTGTTCGGAAAAATAGTGAAAGTAATAAAACGTGGTTTTCTGCTCCATCCCTCTTTATCTGTTCTTTCTCTCTGTCTTTTTTTTTTTTTTTTTTTTTTTTTGACACAGGGTTTCACTCTGTTGCCCAGGGTGGATTGCAGTAGCATGATCTTGGCTCACCACAGCCTCCACCTCCTGGGTTCAAGCAGTTCTCCTTCCTCAGCCTCCTGAGTAACTGGGATTACAGGCATGTGCCAACATGCCCAGCCAATTTCGTATTTTTTTTATTTGTTTTAGTAGAGACAGAGGTTTCACCATGTTGGCCAGGCTGGTCTAGAACTCCTGACCTCAAGTGATCCACCTGCCTCAGCCTCCTAAAGTGCTGGGATTACAGGCGTGAGCCACCACACCCAGCCCTATCTACTCTCTTGCTCTTTAGAGGCAAGTACTTTTTTTTTTTAGTGGGAAAATATTTTTCCCAGTATTTAAAAATATTTTATTATGTAAAAGCTCAAACATAAGTAAAACAGGTAAGATGGTACAATGATTCTCCCCGTTTACCCATCACTCAGCTAGAGTAATCATTAACTCATGGCCACTCTTGTTTCTTCTGTATCTTCTTGAATAGCAAACCTCTGGTCCTACTGGATTATTATTATTATTTTTTATTTTTTTGAGGTGGAGTCTTGCTCTGTCGCCTAGACTGGAGTGCAGTGGTACGATCTTGGCTCACTGCAACCCCTGCCCCTGGGTTCAAGTGATTCTCCTGCCTCAGCCTCTCGAGTAGCTGGGATTACAGGCATGTGCCACCACACCCGGCTAATTTTTGTATTTCTAGTAGAGATGGGGTTTCACCATGTTGGCCAGACGAACACAACTCCTGATCTCAGGTGATCCGCACACCTTGGCTTCCCAAAGTGATGGAATTACAGGTGTGAGCCCCTGCACCTGGCCAACCCGCTGGATTATTTTGAAACAAATGCAAAATGTTTAATTTTGCCTGTATTTCAGCATGTGTTTCTGAAAGACAATGGAATTCTTTTCAGCTTGTAAATGCTTTATTTTTTAAAAAATAGAGGAAGCTTGGTAGTGTATATGTGGCCAGTTGATATTTTTATGACTAAGAAAGTCCAGTCTCTTACAGAGTTGAAATGTACCTCTACACATGCACGTTTTTATTTAATTATGTTCTATTTTTCCATAAATTATTGGGGTACAGGTGGTATTTGGTTACATAAGTTCTTTAGTGATGATTTGTGAGATTTTGGTGCACCTATCACCTGAGCAGTGTATACAACACTGTATTTATAGTCTTTTATCCCTTGCCCCACACCCACTCTTCTCTCCAAATTCCTGAAGTCCATTGTATCATTCTTAGGTCTTTGTGTCCTCATAGCTTAGCTCCCACATATCAGTGAGAACATACAATGTTTCGTTTTCCATTCCTCAGTTATTTCACTTAGAATAATAGCCTCCAGTCTCATCCAGGTCACTGCAAATCCTGTTAATTCATTCCTTTATATGGCTGCATAGTATTCCACTGTATATATATACCACAGTTTCTTTATCCACTTGTTGACTGATGGGCATTTGGGTTGGTTTTATGATTTTGGAATACATATGCACATGTAATTTTTATCAAAATTAAGCTTCGTCACTAAAGAAGATTCGCTGTGTGAACTTTGTTCTGCAGTTTTTTCACTTTTGCCATCAGGCAGTGTAGCACCTGGCCTCTCAAGAAGATCTGGATCTAGTCCTGATATCATTTTGTTTCTTATTGCCATCACTGGTATACCCACTTGAACCATTTTGAGATATATGACATATCTTGAATCTTTGTCAAAAGTTAAGATATTTTCTACTGATACTTGATTTTCCTGTGGTCCAGAGTCTTGTGTACTGTGCTGCTGTGATTACTCTAAGGTGACTTCAGAATGTGATCCATTTGTGACACTAGTGGGACTTAAGGGAGATACTTTAAATGTAACATCATCTAGGCATGGTATAGATGACAAAGTTGCATCTAAAATATTCAGAGTTGTTTCAATTTGCTGGATACAAAGATAAAGGTTTGCCAGTTTCTCCTCACTAAATGTAGAAGAGTGGTTGAGGAACTATACAGTGTGCACAACAGTTTGCTTTAGAAAAGCCACCATTCTTTTCTGGTGAATAGCTGGCACCTTGATCAAGTGTATGCCTGGCCCTCATGAGAGGAAGCCCGTCTTTATACATCTCCTCAGCAATCAGGGGCCCTGGACTCACAAACCCCTCCCAGATGGGGCCTGCCCAACCTTGTAATCCTGTCCCAGTGCTTCTCCACGTCCCCCAAGACAAAGTATTTTTATATTCAGCAAACGTAGTTCCCTTTATCACACGTGATAAAACCTAATAAAGATTTCCCCAAATCAAATATCTAGTTCTTTCACCCCCTCTCCAGTTGGTTTTTTAAAATCAGGACCAAAGATAATCCATACTTTGTATTTTGTTAATATGTCTAAAATTAAACTACGTGTTTTCTTCTCTCTTTTTAAAAAACTCTGTTGAACAGATTTATTTGTTGAAGAAATGAGGTTGTGCTATAGAGTTTTCTAAATTCTGTATTCTGATGCCTCCTCATGGTGTCACTTAATAGTCCATTGTTCCCTCTAACCCTTGTTTTCTGTAAACTGATAATTAGATCTAGAAGCTTGTTCTGATTCAGGTTTGATTTTTGTGAGAATAATTTATAGGCATTATGTTTCTGAATCCTTGGATTCAACCTGCCATGGATTCAAAATACTACCAAAAAATCTGATAAAGATAACAGTAACAATACAATAAAAAAATACAACAGCTAATTCTTTTTTATTTATTTATTTATTTTGAGACAGGCTCTCACTCTGTTGCCCAAGCTGGAGTGCAGTGGCATGATCTCAGTTCACTGCAAACTCCACCTTCCAGGCTCAATCGATTCTTGTGCCTCAGTCTCATGAGTAGCTGGAACTACAGGCATGCACCACCATGCCCAGCTATTTTTTTGTATTTTTAGTAGAGACCGGGTTTTGCCATGTTGCCCAGGCTGGTCTCGAACTCCTGAGCTCAGGCTATCTGTCTGCCTCGGCTTCCCAAAGTGCTAGGGTAATAGGCGTGAGCCACCACGCCTGGCCAATAACTAATTCTTGATTTATCAGCTTTATTTATGATCTATTTATTTGCTATTATGATGGATGAGGATTTATCTCATATCATGTTACCTCTCCCATCTCTCTCAGTTTTTGTTATACTATTTTAAATTTATCTCTTGGCTGTCTTTCAAATCTTTAAATTATATATATTTATATATACACACATGTAATTTTTTGTATATATGCATATATTTTAAAAGTATACTTTTTTTTGAGATAGGGTCTCACTCTGTTGCCCAGGCTGGAGGAGTATAGTGGCATGATCTCGGCTCACTGCAACCTTGGCACCCCAGGCTCAAACGATCCTCCCACCTCAGCTTCCCAAGTAGTGGGGACCACAGGTGCACACCCGCATACCCAGCTAATTTTTTGTATTTTTGGTAGGGATGAAGGGGGTGTCTCACCATGTTGCCCAGGCTCGTCTTGAACTCCTGAGCTTAAGCAATCCATCCACCTCGGCCTCCCAAGGTGCTGGGATTACAAACATAAGCCTCGGCACCCAGCCTAAAATAATATAGACTTTTTTTTTTCTTTTTTTTTTTTTTGAGACAGGGTCTTGTTTGTCGCCCAGGATCGAGTGCAGTGGCATGATTATGGCTCACTGCAGCCTTTGCCTCCCAGGCTCAAGTGATCTTCCTGCCTCAGCCTCTGTAGTAACTGGGACCACAGGTTTGCACTAGCATGCCCAAGTAATTTTTAAATTTTTTGTAGAGACAGGGTCTTGCTGTGTTGCTCAGGCAGTCTAGAATTCCTGGCCTCAAGTCATCCTTTTACCTCAGCCTCTAAAAGTACTAGGATTATAGGTATGAGCCACCCCACCATGCTGAGCCCTAAGTAATATATTTAAACTTTATTTCTTCTTTTTTTAAATCAAATTTGGAGTTTATCTCTTCACTTGCTACTTTGTAAGGATATTTTCATTCTCTCTACCACTCTTTCCCTTTAACTTTCGACCTTCTGTCACCTCTAACATTTGCATTTTGGGCTTTGTTGATCCCAAATAATGAAAACTGAAAAGGCTTATTATTGATTATCACTATTATTTAACTCTGTGGATTATAATTTTATTCTCTATAAGTTTCTATTTGCTAGCTCTCTCAATTCTGTTTTTTGAGATATTCTGTTTATTGAGTATGATATCCTTTCATGGCATTGGTTTCTCTCAGTTGTTGGGTAATTCTTGTTCATATTTGATTTCAAATTCTGTGATAATCTTCTATGAGTATTGTGTCACACTTCGTACTATAACCTGAATCCAGTGACTGATGAAGAGGTAGGACTGGATGTTTTTCATTAACCTGTGTTGTCAGGTACATAGAACTCTGTTTCTGTCCAGCCAAAGTAATTGTACTCACTGTTCCTTTCTTGAAAGGAGGGAGGAAGATACCTTTCTTGGGGAGGCCTACTGCCTGATGTTCCTACTGTTCACATCCAGGGCCGTTTCCACATTTTGCATTTTTGTGCATGTTGGGATATGGGTTTCTGTCTTATCCCATTTGTTGTCTGTTTTTCAGAGGTTCTCCACAATTTCATGCCTGTTGAAAATGCCCCTTATTTTCCAGGACTCATTGAATAAGAAAAAATATGTACCATACACTTCTCTCATATTTCTATATATTATCATTTCTAAGGATTTATGGTAAAAGAGGGGGCTGTAGCATGTATTTAGTCTTCCATCTTCATTTAGTCCTTGTCTGCTTCCATAGCTTTTGTGGATATTTGCATATTGACTATTTATTTAGATATCTACCAGTTACAATACTGTGAGCTCCTTCGATGACACTGGAATGTAAAGGTACTTAATAAACATTTCTTGGATTAATTCAAATTTTATTGCAGATGGAATTAAAAACTAGAACTCAAGTAGTCTAATGCTTACCATATACCTTTCTTCAAGTATGTGAAGCATTAAGTTCTTGGTACTTTCTCTTTCCATCTAAGTTATCTCAATGTTTTCTTTTAATATTTCCTCAGAAGATGTGTCTTTTTTGTTTGTTTGTTTGTTTTTGAGAAGGAGTCTCACTTTGTGCTCCAGGCTGGAGTGCAGTGGCATCATCTCAGCTCACTGCAACCTCTGCCTCCCGAGTTCAAGCGATTCTCCTGCCTCAGCCTCCCGAGCAGCTGGGATTACAGGTGCCCACTAGCACGCCCGGCTAATTTTGGTATTTTTAGTAGAGATGCGGTTTCATCATGTTGGCCAGGCTGGCCTCAAACTCCTTACCTCACGTGATCCTCTTGCCTTGGCCTCCCAAACTGCTGGGATTACAGGTATGAGCCACTGCGCCCAGCAAGTCATGTTTTTAAGTTTATTAACTTTTGCTACTTTTTTCTTTAAAACCATTTCTTTTAAATTATGGAGTTCAAAGTAGAACACAGAGCTCTAACAAATGCTAACTGTTGCTTTTTGTTTTCTGTGAGTTATATGACTGAATATGGACAGAATATTCAATATTTTCTCCAGTATTTCCCCAACCAATTTGGGGGAGGTATTAATTTTTAAAAATTATTTTCTCATTTCTCTCTTCTAGATGAATACGAAAATAGGAAGTGGGTGGTTGGATGCTGGAAATTTTCGAATTGCTGATGAGTGTTTTCAAGCTGCTGAGGTGGTAAGTTGCCATTGATTTTTAGCTGAGGCAATTATTAGTAGTAATATGTGTGGTTATTCTCATTGTTACATTGTACTGTGGTTTTACTTTCCAGAATCTGGAGCAATTATACACGAAATTAATTGAGAGGAGCTCTCCTGAGACTGACTTGACCCTGGAGAAGATGGCTGTTGAGAAAGACCACTTCAAAGTGCTTTCTTACCAAGCAGAGTCAGTAGGTATCATGGGCACCAGGGCCTTCCAGTGGGGCATTTTCCATATGTAAATGTAAAAGTGATGATATATAGCCTATTGGAAGAAAGTCAGATGTCACTGCCTTTTATAGGCATTAATTTGATCTTTTTATCTCTGTCATATCTGAAGGTGATGTTAGTAATGGTGATTGGAATCTGTGGAGTGGCTAAGGGTGAGAAGACTAATATACAGCCAAACATCATTTTCAACCCCTGCATGTAACATCTGTCATTTATTTATGGTAGCAATCTCTACTTAAAACACCTGTCTCTGTGACTCTCTCTTACATTCACAGTCTGCCTAAAATATTTGCCTGAAAAGAGCCTTTTCATTTGCAGTTGTTCTTAGTTGTTTATTGATGCTTTCTAAAAGTCTACTGCGATCACACACCATTTAAAGTTATACTTTACCTCTGTTTATCTTGTGGGTTTCCTCCTTTTGTCATTATACACTTGGTGTGCATTTGAGCTATGATGAATTTGCTTTCTGTTATTACACAATTCTGGAAATGAAAAATCCCTAGCTGGGCATGGTGGCTCATGCCTGTAATCCCAGAACTTTAGGAGGCTGAAGTGGAAGATTGCTTGAGCCCAGGAATTGGAAACCAACCTGGAAAGCATAGTGAGACCCCATCTCTACCAAAAAATAAAAGCAAAAAATTAGCCAGGCTTCAAGGTGTGCACCTATAGTCCTGGCTACTAGGGAGGCTGAGGCGGAAGGATCCCTTTGAGCCTGGGAGTTAATGAGTTTTCTGTCTTAATAAATCTCCTGAGGTATTTCTGTCACTCCAGCCTGGGTGACAGAACTGGACTCTGTCTGAAAAACAAACAAAACAACAACAAAAAAGAAAAGTCCTTTTTTGAATTTTTTAATGTATTTATTGAGATATAAGTCATATGCCATAAAATTCACCCATTTATACTGTATAATTCAGTAATTTAGTATATTCACAGAATTGTGCAATGTGCACCACAAGCTATGTTTAAAACATAATTGTCACCCGAAAAGGAAACCCCCATGAACATTAGCAGTCATTCCTCATTGCTTCTGACCCTAGCTCTAGCAACCATAATTTATTTTCTGTCTCTATAAATATACCTATTTTGGACATTTCATGTTAATAGAATCATGCAATAAGTGGTCTTTTGTGATTAGCTTCTTTCACTTAGCATAATTGCTTTAAAGGTTCATCAGTGTTATTGCATGTTTCACTGTATGAATATGCCATGTTTTGTTTATCCATTCATCTATTGATGAATATTTGAGTTGTTTCCAATTTTTGCGTATTGTGAAAAATTCTAATGTGAACATTCGTGTACATTGTGTATACATGTTTTTAATTTTCTTTGGTATATAGCTAGGAGTGGAATTGCTGTGTAGCATGGTAACTGTAACTCTGTGTTTAACCTTTTGGGAAACTGCCAGAATGTTTTCCATAGTGACTGAACTATTTTACACTCCCCCCAGTAATATATGAGGGCTTCAATTTCTCTACATCTGAAAGTTTTATAGTTTTAGCACTTACACTTAGATCTATGGTCCATTTTAAGTAAATTTTCAGGTATGATGGGAAGTAGGGGTCTAACTTCATTCTTTTGTATGTGGCTATCCAATTGTCCCAGTACCATTTGTTGAGAAAACTATTCTTTCCTCATACTGAATGACCTTTACACCTTTGTCAAAAATCAATTTATCATAAGTGTTAGGGTTTATTTCTGGAGTCTTAATTCTATTCCATTAATCTATATGTCTAGCCTTATGCTGGTACCATGCTGTCTTGATTACTGTAGCTATGTAGTAAGTTTTGAAATTGGGAATTGCATGGCCTCCAGTTTTGTTCTTTTTAAAGATTGTTTGGATGTTTCTGGGTCCCTTACCTTTCCATATGAATGTTAGGATCAGGTTGTCAATTTGTGCACAGAAGCCAGCTGGAATTTTGATAGGGATAGCATTGAATTCTTAGAACAATTTGGGGGATTTTGTTATCTTAAGAATATTGTGTTCTAATCCATGAACATGGGATGTCTTTTCATTTATTTAGGTTTTGTTTAATTTTCTCTTATTTATTTACCTTTTTTTTTTTTTTTGGTAGAGATGAGGTTTTGCTTTGTTGCCCAGGCTGGTATCAAACTCCTGGCCTCAAGTATTCCTCTCACCTTGTCTTCTCAAAGTTCTGGGATTACAGGTGTGAGCCACCATGCCTGGCCAAACCTATGTGTGGTATTTTTGTTGTTGTTGTTTTAGAGACAGAATCTTGTTCTGTTGCCCAGGCTGGAGTAATGTGGCCCAATCATAGTTCACTGCAGCCTTAAAATCCTGGGCTCAAGGGATCCTCCTTCCTCAGTCTCCTGGGTAGGTAGGACCATGGGCGCTATACCACTGTGCCTCGCTAATTAAAAAATTTTCTTTTTTTGGAGAGATAGGGTTTTACTATGTTGTCTAGTCTGACCTTAAACTCCTTAGCTCAAGTGATTCTCCCACCTTGGCTTCCCAAAGTGCTGCAATTACAGGCATGAGCCATTGCGACTGAGCAGACCTATGTATTTTAATTGTCCACAAGCTCAAACTTAAATCAGTGATGTGATGTAGCTGCAAAAAAAGCTAGCAGAATTTTAGGCATTTTACTAGATTAATAGTGTTTACATCTTAATTCACATTTTGAGTATTGTGATAACTGCTAGTTATCACACTTTAAAATCACTGGGTTAGCGTAGAAAATATATCATATGAAAAATATTTGTAGAATATAGTGATGTCTGTCTTGGAAAAAGAAGACAGTAAAAATGATAGCTCTCTTTGAATATTTTAAGGACTATTGTATTAAAAGGAAATTAAACTCCACAGGATAGAATGAAGAACAATGGGTAGAAATCACAGGAAGACAGATTTTGGCTTAATGTAAGGAGTAACCTTTTATCAGTGATAGTAATCTTATAATCAAATAGCCTTCCTGCAAGTTTGTAAGTCTGTTTTCACTGGAAAATTGAAGCAAAGGTGTGAATATCCTAATAATTATACATTGCAGATAGAATTCCTTCATTTGGTAGAAAATTTGACTACTATGATCCTTACGTCCCTTTTTTAACACCAAGATCCTATGATTTCAGAAAGTCTTGTAGCACTTCTTCAGTGTTGTGGATGTTCATATATAAATGGCATGTTCTTTGTATAGCCGGTTAAAAGTGTTAGTAGTTATAATCAGTAATGAGAACTATATAATTCTTGACTTTGATAAGTGATGACATCTTCAGAAGTTGAAGTGAAGGCTAATTCTTTTTGCTGTAAGTTGATTTTCCATTTCTTTTTTTTTTTTTTTTTTTGAGACGGAGTTTCACTCTTGTTACCCAGGCTGGAGTGCAATGGCACGATCTCGGCTAACTGCAATCTCCGCCTCCTGGGTTCAGGCAATTCTCCTGCCTCAGCCTCCTGAGTAGTTTGGATTACAGGCACGCACCACCATGCCCAGCTAATTTTTTGTATTTTTTAGTAGAGATGGGGTTTCACCGTGTTGACCAGGATGGTCTCGATCTCTTGACCTCGTGATCCACCCGCCTCGGCCTCCCAAAGTGCTGGGATCACAGGCTTGAGCCACCGCGCCCGGCCTGATTTTCCATTTCTAAGATATTCTCACCATTAGTGTTTATGTGTTTTGTTGATACTTTCTTGGGAGGAGACATATTTAAAATAGCAGTTAATATCAGTGTTTGTTAAGGAGTTTTCTGTCTTAATAAATCTCCTGAGGTATTTCTTAGCGATCTATATAAGCCTTCTCTTTCTCTAGGCTCTTACCATTTAACTAGTTAGATAATTGCTTTATTTATTATTTATTAAATTATTCAACATACAAGGAATGTTTTCTATGAACAGATTGCTATGCTAGGTTTTGTGGAGTAATGCAAATAATCACATATCCTATCCTCAAGGATTATAGTTTAGTTGGCAAGATAAATTATGACTATACAAGATAGAAAAAATTGGGTGCTGTAATAGTTGAACGCATAAGTGATCTACATGCAGTGTTCAGTACTATGTGTGAGTGGAGATGTAATATATGGTCTTTCTTAAGAAAATTATAAGCTAGCTTGAGTGATAGACCATGAATACATTTGCTAAAACTGGAAAAAGGAAAATATTAAGTGCCAAAGGAATGACTTAGGTTAGGTGTGACACAGACTTTGTCTAAAGTGGTCACATGACCTTCCTAACAATTGTTAACATTTTACTTTTCCTCAACCCCTACGTCCACCTGCAAGGTGAGGGATAATTTTCTGTGTGTGCATGTGCCACAGATTATCCTTCTGTAATCTTTTAGAATTGTAAAAATAACTATAGATCTTGGTTTTTCTCCTAGTTCCTCATTTCCCTTGATTACTGGCAGTGCCTCTTTCTGCGCCGTGCATCACCTGCAGATGCAAGAGTAATATGTTTTGCTTCTGCTCCCTCCCCTATTTAAAGTGAGACCACTTGTAGAAGCTGACAGAGTCACACTGAGGAAGGGGCTATGAGCTTACCTGTAAAGATTATGATGGAGGCTATCTTGGAGATGCCCTGCCCTGCCCACCTCCCTTTCCCTTCCCTTTTCCTTTCCCTTTCAACGTCCCTTCCCTCCCCTCTTCTCCCCTCCCCTTCTTCCCTTCTTCCCTTCTTTCCTTCCCTTTCCTGCCACTACAACCTGGGCAACAAAGTGAGATTCTGCTCCCCCACCCCCCAAAAAAAAGAAGGAAAGGAAAGACCAGCCCAGCCTGAATTAACTATTTTTAACTTCAAGAATGACTGGCACATAAACTTGGCTATTTAGCAGATGTTTTCATAAAAATGCATGAAATGGGCCAGGCAAGGTGGCTCATGCCTGTAATCCCAGCACTTTCGGAGGTTGAGGTGGGTAGATCACCTGAGCTCAGGAGTTTGAGACCAGCCTGGCCAACATGGTAGAATCCCATCTCTACTAAAAATACAACAATTAGCCAGGCTTGGTGGCAG